CATCATATAAAGGCATTTGAGTGGCAAAAGGTGGCAATTCGAGTAGACAAAATAAACTTGAAACTTCTACCTAAATAGCATACAGAGCATAGCGGTCATTAATGTTTAGTTCTTATCGGACCGCCAGGTTACCCGGGTAATGTTTTTTTGATGGGTTCAAGTGCTAGGTCCGAAGTTTGCAAACAGTCCGGTCCAGTCTGGTAGGTTTTTTGTGGCTTAGCTCATTATGTGAGCAACAAATCGGCTCACATGATGAGCTAAGCCACAAAAAACCTACCAGACCAGACCAGACTGTTTGCAAACTTCAGACTGAACTTCAAATCAGATAAATATATTTGGACTCGAACTAGTCTGCAAACTTGAACCAAACTCAGACCGAACTCATAATTAAGTTTGAGTCTGGTCTGAAGTTTGAAACTAGTAAAATTTAGAGTCTGAGTCTGGTTCAATTCCGGACCAGATCCAGACCAGACCTAGAAGCACTACGGAGCACCTATTTCCACTATGAAAATTTACTATTTCCACCATTTGATATAATTTATTATGACAATAAGTTCGTCATGTTTATGTAGCTAAAAGTCATATAAAAAGCAAATTTTCATAGTGAAAATAGGCGTTTTTCTTTTTATATGTAGATAAATATTATCTTATAGAATGTTATAATAGTGTAATCTAGAATACATATCTTATTCTACTGGCATATCGGCTGGTATTCGGCATTTAGAGGCACAAAATTCTGAATTGTCAACCTCTCAACAAGGTCATGTTTTGTAAGAGAGGTACATTAATTTGAAAGAGGTTAGTAATGATCAATGGATTCTCTTGTTTCACTATTATTTGTTTTTTCTAATCAGTTGTAATAAAATGCAGAATAACTTGAATGAATGGAATTATGATGATGAATTATCAACCTCTCAACAAGGTCATGTCTTGTGAGAAAGGCACATTAATTTGAAAAAGGTTAGTAATGATCGATAAATTCTCTTGTTTTGTTATAATTTGTTTTTTTTCTTAATCAGTTGTAATAAAATGCAGGATAACTTGAATGAATAGGATTATGATGTAGAGGAGAAAAAGAGAACAAGGTAATTTTTTGTAAATTACAAGTTTATTATATTTGACAAAGTTAATATAAAGTTATATAGAAGGGTCCATCCCTTTCACTAAGAATCACCGATAGATAACTAAGCAAATATATAATAATATGAAAAAGAAAGAATGTAGAAACTTTCAACAGGCAAATATGTTGAGAAAAAATTGTTTCACATAGGTCAAAACATAAAATTTAAACAGTTAGTGGTTACTGATTTCTATGTTTTAATTGTTTTATATAAAAGAATCATATTAAACTGCAATTTTCATTTAATAGCGTAATCTATTTATTTATTTTGGATGTTAATGACAAAATAGTTAGGTGGCATTTTAATGATTTAAACTAGATGAAATTGATTGTGCCACTAGTTCACAAGTTCCTGAGCTTTCAGATAATATTATTAAGTGTTTAACCGAATCTTCAGATAAGGTAATATTTTAACTAGTAAATATATAGGTTGTTGCTCAATTTCCTGAAAGCTATTTATCCAACAGGCCACCTACCCGACATCATATAGGATTAGAGTTAGTATTTGATTAGTTGCAGATATATATTTTTAGCAATTTGTCACCCTTGTGATGTCAGGTACTGTAATCATTTGTATGTATATAACCAATCTTTTTTCTGGCTGCAGAAATATTTAAATGAAATCAAAGAAACAATAACAAATTTGATATTTGGAATTATGAATATAAAAAATACTATGATAAGGATTACGAAATCTTTGCCTTCTATGTTTTGTAAGTATTTTGATTATTTTATTAGATTATATAGTCTTATGAATAAATTGTATAATTTGTTAAATTTGTTTTATAAAGTAAGAGAAATTCAGAGTAAAGGTTTGAAAGGTAGTAAGCTTGAAGCATGATTCAATTGTCATGTGTGAAGCGTAATCTTTGATTAGGCATTTGGAAATATTGATACAATAATCATTGTCAGATAATTTTTGTTTGACAAATGTAACCTATTTTGATGTATCCAACAAAGCATTTTTAACAATCTAGAGAGAAAAGTACAAGTTTGGCATCGGCTTCACGCAAAAATACCAAAAGACTGTCTGAAAACTAGTGCAAAATAGGTTGCAAAAGCGACTTTAATTTGAGATCTAAAAGTAATAAAGAAAAAGATAAATTCAGAGCTAGAGAAACTGGAAAAAGTTGGATGAATGAGTTTAGAACAAAATTTTTTAAGGAAGTGGAATTAAAGTTACCTAAGATACTAAAGGATATGATGATAAAATTAATGAAAAAAGTGGAATGGGATGAAGAAAAGTGTGCAAAGATTCAAATTGTTAGAGTAGTTTACACTAGTATATGTTTCTTTGTGCCTATAAGGATTCTCCAGGTTCTTGCTATTTACCAATGTTATCTATAGGATTGATGTTCATGTCGATTTATTTAGATAATTTAAAGGGCTACATTAGCAGGATCTGATGTAGTAAACTGATGGAAGTTCCTGATAATGCAGATGATTTTTAATCTATTCTTACAATTTTCGCATCTGTTCTTAACATAAAGGTTAGTAAATTAATACTTTTCACCTAATTATATATATTTGTGTTAATATAAACTGATATGTCTATGAATTTTAGGTCATGGTTCAAAAAACTGTAAGGGTAATCCAAGCTAAAAAATCAGCAAATTCTTATAAAATGACAGAATATCGAAAATGGCCTCTAGACAAAAGTGTGAACCAAGTATTTCTATATTTAATAACTCCAAAATCATCTCTGAAAAATAAAAAAGTTAAAGCTGTGCATAAATCATATAAATCACATGAAGAGAAATTATACCTCCTACTCCATGCCCTAGATCACTACAAGGATCTGATTTAGGTACATTATAGGAATAGGATAATATAAAAACCTGGCTATGCATTAATATTATATAAAATATCTGTGAATTTTATTATATAAATATTGATTTTAAAATTTTAAATTTTTAATAAATCTATATAAATCTACAAATTTATATAAATACTAATTTAAAATATAATTTAATATATAAGTTTTTCAAAAAAAAAGTTTCTTATATTTTTTTTTTTTTTTTTTATTATGAATTTGCTGTATACATGATAAGATTAGTTACAGATTTATATCAAGATGATATTAATTTAAACTATCTATTGTATCTTGTATAACCACCTGAGTGTAGCAAATCACCTCTTAATTTTCTATTTGCAAACTAATTTAAAACTAGCTACTATTAGTTATAGAGGGGGAAAGAAGAGGCCCAAAAAAGTTTCTTATATAAATCTATTTAAAAGCAGTTGTCTTAATAAAATCTTGCAGTATAGCTTTTTGAAATCTGTAATTTTCTTATGATTTATTATAAATTTTATATCATGAAAATTAATTGTTATAGCTAATGCTGAAAATGGCTGATACTGAAATTCGGATCTATTTTGATATGATTTTAAAATTTTTTGGGTTGTTTTTTTCTCGCTTTTTTTTTATAGTTGCATTAGTTTTTATGATTAGAATTGATAATTAACAAGTATATATGGATTTTAGCAGGGCTTATATTTTTAAATCAAGATCCCAAATTTCAGTTTTAGCCATTTTTAGCATCAGCTGAGACATTAATTTTCCTAAGATTTTTTTTTGTTAATTTCTTATATCAGATATTATAAATTAATTATGAATTTCTGTTTAAAAGTTTAATTGATTAAATTTTTATCGATCAAAAAAAGGTAAACTATATAAATATTCTACTCTGAATGATTAATTGCATCTGTGCTTGCACCATTATTACAACTGTCTAAAGTTATACTTTAAGTATTTTTTGTAAAGATTTCAAGAGAGTGTAGTATTAAGATTTTATGGTTTACTGTTTATTTCTCAGTTTTTCCTAATCAAATTCACTAGCTTGGTATTACATAATCAACATTCTGTATTTTGTACTTTTTTTCTATATTTATAACTAGTTCTGATCATAATCGTTTTAAGGTCACACTTCGATTCCATCAAACGCTTCATTCTCATCGTTACTGATGATTTCAATGATATTAATAACTTTACTAGCATAATTAAAGTTGTATATTCAACTATTCGATTTTCTTCACTAACCTTCCTTTTTTATAGTAATATTCATACTTTCATTTCTACTAGTTTTTGAAAAATTTAGAATGAATTTCACTTATAATTATCAGACCTTTGGAGTTTGCTTTTAATTTTCACTTTTTTCTTCATGCCTTCATTATTCTTACTTATTCTTGCTGTCAAAAAATACAATTGCTTCATAAAAAATTAAAAATAATAATAATGATATTTTGCAAATATATTATACATAGCTAAATAAAAACATACAGTTGATATTGTCTAAATGTATAGGATCTGTAAACAAGTATTTTATGTATTTAAGCAGTATATGCAATTAAACATATTATTAAAACCTTGTGTAATATATAATTATTCAATAAAATTTATTTATTAAATCATATAACAAAAATTAACAAATTATTAATATAAAATGTTTTTAATCATAATTTATTATTAAGTTAACCTATCTTATATTTCTAATAAAAGTTGTTAAGAAGGTCTTTATGATTCTAATGATCAAAATTGGCCTAGTAATTCATGAGATATAATTAAAAAAAAGTTTCTAATTATATAAAATCTTTGCAGATCTTCAAAGAGATTTTATACAATCAGAAAAAAATCTTTTGATCATATCTCATGAACTTCTAGGCCAATTTTGATGATTTAACCACAATTAGAATCATAAAAATCTTCTCTACAACTTTTATTAGAAATGTAAGATAGCTTAACTTAATAAAAAACTATAATCAGAAGCATTTTTATTATTTTTCCAAATGCATATTTAATAATTTTTTATGCATTATGCAAATAAAGAAATTATGCATTTATTATTAGGAACCAAGTTGGTGGACAGAAATTCTATGCAACTAGGCAGTATATGCAATTAGACAGTATGCATTTAGACAGTATCAACTGTATATGCCATTTATTTAATTAAAGATTATTAATAAATTTTTTTTTTTAGATATTAATTTGGCCAGAGCTTGGGATTTGGGCGTGGGCAAACTCAAACTATAATATTTTGGATTTGGGCAACAAATATATCCCACTATGTCTTCGATTAACTTTGCATCCTTTCGTCCTTTATTTCAACAAACCTCGTGAATCTCATATCCTTCACTTTCGGTTTTTCCTTATTTTTTGTTTTCTTTTCAACTTTCTTGCTGAGTTTTCAAGCGTCGTTGTAGTGGACAAGACAGAGTATAATGTCCTTCTTTTTGACATGCATAACACAAACGTGGTCTACGACGTTGATACTTCCTTTGCTCAATTCCTTTACTACCGACACAACTATTTCAACAACCTTTCCAATCAATGAAACCAGATAGTCCGCGTTGTACGAATAACCGAGAGAAATAAGGAAATTGAATACTAATGCCATTGTAATTATCGTTATACTCTTTAAGAGACAATTCATTATTGAAGACCGATTCAATGATCTTGAGCAAGTCCTTGAATTGAAAAACTACCGTATTTTCGCAGAATAACGCTCATGAGCATTATTTCGAAAATTGCGCTCCCTAAAAATAACATATAAAGCTTCAAAATAACGCCCATGCGCATCCCGAAATAATGAGCATCTTATAGTAAGAACCTCACACCTACCTAGGTCCTTGTGTCACATATCTTATAGCACACTGTGAACTTGTCAATTCTCGCTAAAAAGTTTACTCATTTGGTTAATTAATTGAGACTAGAGTATCGTATAGATACACCACTGGGACTGTACAATGTATATTCACTAAGATAGGGTTTAAATCATACATGCCGTAGAAACCATTTTAGCATTGATTTTTGATATGAAATACCCTGAGTTACTTCCGAAAAGCTCAGAAATCGATGCTGAAAATACTTTCGGCAAAGTCGAAATTAGTTTCTACGACGACGCAGTAAATCTAAAAGCCTCAATCTAGAATAAGCACATTGCAGCATTGGAGACTAATAACGGCTTATACTTAGAGTAGTTGCTAGTAAGCACTGTACATATTGCATATCGTTCTTGCGTATTAATTTTAAGGAAAAAGGAGTTCCTTCAATTTATTGAGATTTGACAATTTAAGAAATTACTGAGATTGACAATTTAAGAAATTACTGAAATTGACAATTTAAGAAAGAAATTTAATACTTGTACCCGGAAGGTATGATACCCGGTATAATGTTTATATAGTGCCCTATATATATATTAAGGTGTAAAATTAAACGCTGAGCAATTTTACTTAAGATACCTACATATGGTTTTCTTAGTAAAATTTTGAGATATTACCGATTTTTGATTTTTTCTTATACCGGGTATTATACCCACCGGGTACAAATAGAAATTCTCATTATTATATATATTTTTTTACTTTAGATTTGAACTACCATATTTTATTTTTGTTAATACTTATAAAAAAATTTTTTAGAATGTATGGTTAGCTCTCTCTAAATTGAACCGAACGCTGTGAAAACTGAATACAAAGGTTTAATAGATCATTTTATAAATTTTATTAATACTGTAAATCGGATTAGAAGCAATAAATTGTTTAAACCGAAAGTTTTAAAAATCTTTACATATAAATCCGGAAGGTTTGGTTTAAGCAGAGTTTACTGTATTATATTTGCCAAAATTTGATTTAACTAAGATGATAATGTCTATATGAGTATTGTCGGTATTTTGGCAGCTCTCATATAGTGATAATTATTTTTTGTTAATTTATTATTATTTTTTTTAACTAGCCTCTTTGGGCTGAGGTTTTTATTCAAGTATTTAGGTGGAGGGTTCACAACAGAACCCCTTACATTAGAGAGTACAACTAGCTACACATGTAACTTTTGGTTGTCTATTTAAGTAGTCCACATATTGGTATTACATTATAGGTTCTACACTAGCTATTATACCTACAACCCAACTAAAGGGTTATCTATTTAAACTTTTTACTGTATAATGCAACCTAACTTGTATCACCAGTACATCTTTATTACATTTGTCAATTAAGAAGTCTCAGATGTTTTTTTAGTATCCTTAGAATAAATTTATTCTTGAGGCATCATTGCTAAAGTTTTTCATACCCACAATCCAGCTAATCTAGACTTCAGTAACTTATATTTAATTTGAAGACAAGTACTTGCAAGTCAAACCTACTACTGTTATTTACTTTTGCTTTTGTAGAGTTTATTTAAACCCTAGTACCTACTTTATGGACTGTCAACATCTTTCTGGTTTTATTAAACTTTTAATTCAAATGGTCTTGAAGAGTAACCTTTTCTTTCAATTACCTAACAGCCTGGTTGATGAAATGTCTTGTCAAACACTTTAATCTTATTTAGTTTTTTCAGTTATTTAAATAATACTTTTTTACATAGTATTGTCAAATATCTCTCTATTTGAGTTTTGCTAAGTGAGCTTTTATATCT